CACACACACACACACACACACACACACACTCCTATGGGCAATTTAGAGACACCAATCAACCTAAGCTGCATGTCTTTGGTCTTATTCTTTGTGAATAATCAAATTCATGCAAATACAACATTTAGAAAAGCCAAGGTGACTTTCAGAGTTAAAATAGCACCCACCACACAGCAGTGGTCCTCAGGTTGCTTAGTCACAGTGGTGCTCCCTGGGTCACAATCAGTTGAAAACCCCTGAAGGAGTTCATGTTGTGTGATTTTGTTTATGGCTTTGGATTTTAAAACCTGAAGTTCCTGGTGTGGTTGTGGATGTCTACCTTTTGGCCTGTCTTGTCACGTGTAGGAGAAACATTTCTCACCTGGTTTTTCAGCCCATTTAGACTCAGCCACCCTAGCTCTGGGTCTGTGTGTGTGTGTGTAACCTTGGTATCAAACCAGCAGATTGTACTCAGCATGCTGCTAGTGTAAATGATCCTCCATGTCCAGCACTGACATTCAGGTTATCAACAGGTATCATCAGAATAGCTGTTATTATCAGTAGCAGCTTTCAGAATATGTTCACAAAGCTTTGCGCTCTGGACAAACATGACACAATGAAGAAAGTAGCTTTGCTACGAGAAAGACCAACTGGTAATATTGAAAGGTGTCAGCACAATTTGATTGATTTTTACGTTGTCAAAAAATAACCCCTGTGTCCACAATATACCTTGTGCACCAGGTAACACACACACACACACACACACACACACATACATACACACACACCTCACATATGAGGCATTATTTCCCATCAATTGATGCTAAGACTTCGCAATTGGATCTTCAAAAGGAAAAAAAAACGCCTACGGGGATGCACACCTTTGCTGATTGAGTAGCAGCCCTTGTTTATTCCGGCTGATGCTTTACCCGGACGGAAAAACAAATGAGAAGTCTATTTGGTTTTGGTAATGACCCCTGGCTGGCTGCCTCTTGTCCACTCCGAAGGCTCTCTGGGTGTCATATAATCAGTACAACCAAGTCCTTAAAAGCACACCAGTTCAGACAAAACAACAAAGCTGCCGTGAAGATAATTGTGTTTGTGATCCCTGTGCATCTTCTTCATCGCTGGTGCAAGAGGCAGTTGCTGCCTCACTTTGTCTGAGAGGTGCCGTTTTTCATCCCTTGCGATGGCAGCCACGCTCCTGCCATTCTCATTCTCCCTCCACTCAAGAATGTTTTTTTTTTCCATTCTTTTCTTCCCCAGCAATATTTCTGCCAATTTTTTTGACTCAATTAATTCAGCGACACGAATGAATACGGCTCGGCAAAGTAAACAGTGCAGCCCTTGAGTTTTGTCCAATCTGAGGCAGTACTCGTCCTTTTCCCCAGCAGACACTTAGGAGCTTCTGCCAACTCTGCCGCTGCTCTGCTCTTGATGATGATGATGATCATGAGTGTGATGGTGAGGATGATGATGATAGCCCTTACTATTAGTGCAGACTGTGTCTCCAGAGGCCTGAAGCGGTCAGCTGTTTATCCCTTGTCATGACACCTGACTGTATAAATGGGGCCTGTCTGTTTGTTTTATCATCAACAGCACCAGGCCTTGCCTGCCAGGCAAACAGAGACAGGGTCAGGGAGACTACAGCTAAAGACGTGGCAGAAAGAGCGATGGTGGCAGCCACGGTCACTCCACTTACTCCCATGTGGCTCCTGGCTTTTTTATATTGCACAGTGTCCTTTAATGAGGTGGCGGTGTCCCTCAGGGAAGAAAAAAGTGAATCGCAGTTTCAGTTGTTTCAAGATGTCACTGGGCTTTTTCTCTGACTTCTTGCTCTATTAGTGGATATTCAGTTATGGTTATGTGAGCAGTTACATTGGTGTAGGTGTCACACCATTACAGAGCTTTTTTCTTTTGATTGATACAGACATGCCATAGTTTACTTTGATCATCTTTATTAAAATTTTGAGTAGTGGGATCAGAGGCTCCTGCTGTTATCAGTTATTAACAATACAGCATCTATAGTCTATTGTATAAAATGCAGCTTTGGATTCCACATTATTTTTCATCTGGATGTCTCTGCTTTTGAATTTCAGTTCTGTTAGAGGATCACAGGACTGCAAGTGTTTTGTATTGGTTTGAAATGTCACACAAAGCAACGGGCTTTTTGACAGAGTAGTCAGCCCCAGTGGAAGACCTGTCTCAGGAGGAGCAACTCTGCCAGGCTTGAAAAACACCCCCCTCACCCAACCCAACCTTGTCTTCTGCCTCTGTTTCACTTCTCTAGCCGTCCATCCCTTTTTCTGTTCTAGATTTTGACTGAATCTCCCGTGTTGCCCTTGGCCTGTCGCCCATCTCCCTCAGGCCTGATACCACTCTTGATCAGAGACACCTCCCTCCCCTTGACATTACCAGTGGGAAAATGGAGGCCTTAATTACCCACCCAGAGCTCATTACCCAGGCTCAGCCCTCTCAACCTTCTGGCTTTTCACTGA